ACTGAAAAGGGCATGCAGGCTCTGGACTTCTGGTATCTTTTTAAACTACAAGCTATATAGAGTGATACCATGCAGTTTTGGTAGTAGCTATGCCTGTGACAGACTTTGCCTCAGTTGGAATGAATGCTGAAGGGATTCCTTATGTCAAATAACTGGTTCTTTTTTGTTGAACCTGAACTCATGGTAGCTAGAGTTGATCTACTCATGAAGGAAACCACAATTTCTTCTGGAAGTGTGCTGTTGCAGATCTGAGGTATCCAACAAATGGTCTGACCTTCCATGCCTGGCAGTAATTCTTAGTATACTTTCCCAGTTAGAACTCGGGACTGTTTTATCATTGGCTTCATTTCCAGTGTGTCTAGGAGCTTTGCTCTGCCCTAGGTCTTCTGCTTCTTTCTCTTCTTTCCCATTTAGTCATTTTGATTAGTCACATCCCGCCTGTGAGTACAATAGTATAGGAAAGACCTGATTTTCTTTCTCGGGCTTGTTACAGGTCAAATTTGATTACAAATTCCCTTTAAAACTCCCTTTTTAGGTTCTAGGAGAGAAGTTTGGAAAGAAATAGGGGTGGATTCCTATTTAAACGCTCATGTGATATTTAATATTGTAGCTTTCCCAAGCACTAAAGAGTATGTACACATAAAAATACCTAGCACCAAAGGTTTTGTTTTTAAATTGTAATATCTATATAAAAACGTCGATATTTTTAACTTCTATCATTTAGTAACAAAAATAATATTGATACTGTTTCTGAAGATAGCCTTCTAAAAATAATGAATTATAGTTTTTAAAACACCATAAAAATATTTAAAGTCCAAAAGCAGTTTTCATCTCTTTTGAAAATTTCTATGAAATAGAGTTTGGCTATCTTCTGAAAATTTGTGAGTGCTTATAGGTAATTATAGGTCACCCAGGATGTAATATCAAGACTGTTATTGGCACCTCTATCCTCCGAGACACAAAAGTCAAGGATATTCTTATTTATGTTAGAGTGGTGGGACATGTCATTTTCCTTTTCTGCAGACTTGAAAAGACAAACTGTTCAACATAAATCTGGATAGGGTATAGTGAAGCAATGGATTAAATAGTTCTGTGGGACCTGAGGCTGAGATGACAATTTCTTGTCCGTTAGTGATTAATTAATAGATTTGTCTCAGAAATGGGCCCTGTACTCTTCCCTATTAATAACCTTAGGAGTGATTGGCGATGCCTAAAAAACATCTGTCACCTGCTCTGAGTCATCCAAGTTAAGAGTGAATCTCAGAAGTCTCGGATTTCTTCAGGAAGTTGAGTTCAGAAATTGTTTATGAGATCAAGTTAAGTTAACTTTACCGTAAGCATTAATAATTGTCCACAAGAAAGCAAATGTGCTGTAATTATATGTTTATGATAGGATTATATTTTCTTGGTGATTGGACATTTAGGATCAAGATAGTTTATAGCTATTTTTCCCCACAAAAATTTCAAAAAAATTTAAAGTGTAGAGTATTAGAAAATACACTAAAACAGATTAGGATTTCTTGGTCTGGGAAACCAAAATTAAGAAGGGACATGATTAAGGTTAAATGATTATAAAGGGTATTGACATGACCAACACAGATATATTCCACAAATATTGGACTTCAAAACTACAGGAAGCTTTCTAAAAATTGTCCTCTGCTAGAGTAAGAGTTTATGGGCTAGAAACATAGATAGAGAATGAAAGTTCAGTAAAGGTAGAGTTTTTAACAGTGGTGAACATTTATTGGATTCTTTCTGTGTGCTCAGTTCTTTACTACATTATCTCATTTAATCTTCATGACAAATTTAGTGAGGAAGTCTTCCTATTTATCCCTATTAAACAGATTAGGGAATTTGAAGCTCAGGTTATATAATTTGTCCAACATCACGCAGGCCAGAAATGGTAGAGCTAGGGTTGATGATGGCTCCTGCAGACGAATTAGGGAAGGCCTGATGTGTTTGGAGACCATTACTTGTTTTTTAGGTTGCTGTCCTGCATAGAAAATATAGTCGATGATATTGTAATATCTATTTATTGTGTCAGATAACTCTAGTTATGGGTCTATCACTCCGTAAGTATATAAATGTCAAACCACTATGTTGTACACCTGAAAATAATATAATATTGTGTGTCAAATGTAATTGAAAAAATTTTTCTTAAAAGATTACTGTCCCTATTACAAATTAATAGTTGATAGATGGTCACGGGGATAAGGAGCATGTCATGGGGAATGCAGACAGCAGTAAGGTAACGGCTGTGTATAGAGCCAGAGGGAAGATAATCAGGGGAATTGTTTCACAAATTATATAAATGTCTAACCAATATACTGTACTTGAAATTAATAAGAAAAATATTACTGTTCCTATTAAAAGTACTTATATGACATTAGTGAACCCTGTATGGCAATTCTTGTGTTTTAGTTTTCTTTAGTAACTCTCTCTCCTTAAGTAGGTAATTATCATAGAATCTTAGGATGGTGACCTTGAATGAGATTGTCTGGACTGCAGCCTGTCCTCTGAGAGACAAAAAAAAAAAAAACAAAGAGAGATCTTCTCTTTGTTTAGGGATAGTAAGAAGTTATTTTTGCTAATCTTGGATATCTTCAGGAAGGACCTCCTCTAAAAGCAAAACTATCCTTTAATAGATTGTTCTGGTATATATTCTGGCAGTCAGGAAGTTTATGTAAAAGCTAAAACCTCACTGAAATAACTTCTTGTATAGCCTAAGGAGAGGTTAGAGAATGACTAATTACTAATTTATAGTAAAATTCCATTATTCACTCAAGCCATCCTGAAAACTTCATTCAGTGGTTGTTTATTGAGCACCTGGCTGTGTGCAAGGCATCATACTGAATTGTGCTGAATATGATCTTGAAAGTCTTCAAGAATAACACTAGACAGCCCAGCCACCCTGAATAGTTTAGAGTCAGATTTTTAATTTTTTGAGTAATAATAGTGATTTACATTCACTGTATATTATTTAATCCTTATACAGTTTCCTGAGCTAGTGTTATCATACCCATTTTCCAGATGAGGAAATCAAAGCTCAGCAACATGAAGAAATATGCTGCATATCATACAGCAGGTCCCTGATGATGTGAGCTCCTAAAGAGAATAAGTGTTAATATAGTACTTTACAATTATCCAAATGTTTTTACTTATATTATCTCAACTAATTTTGTAAACAAAATGATAGTAGCTATTATTATATTCATTTTACAGATAACAATAGTCACTATTATTTATTATATACTTAATATTGCCAAGAGTTCCAGATAACTCACCAGATAAAGCCTAGTTCATGCAATGCTCACAACAACACTAATAAGTATCATTCCCATGTTACAGATGAGCCATTGAGGCTCCCCAAATTTAAATGACTTGGTAGCACAATGGGGAGCTATGATTCAAGCCTAGGCTTGTCTGCCCAGCCAAGTACATATGACCACTTTGCTGTATTCACTTTACCATATTATTCTTTCTCATATTCCAGATGAGGAAACTAAGGGTCAGAGTCAGCTAACACAACTGAGGTCATACAGCTTAGAAACAGCAGAGCTGGACTCCAACCCAGATCCTCTCATTAGAAAACTTACTTGTTTCCCCTGTACTGGGCTGTTTCTCTGCATAAAGAGAACCAAAAGGCTGTATCTTACATCCAAGTTCCCTAATTCCTTTGCATTGTGTTTAACTTTTATAATGTTAGTCATTCTTTACATTTCTTTGTATTTTTCCCCATTTTGGGGCAGAGAGCCCCCTATACTACTGGTAACAACACATTACAGTAGAGGAATGGACACACAGGTTAAACTACTTGCTCCGGAAATCATCTGGTCAAGTTAGATTAGAACTCAAATCCCAATTTGAATCCTGTATCCCCAATTCACTTAGCTATGTGTTTCTTGTCCTTTTTGTCTTTTGAAAATGTTGCTTGAAAGAAGGCTTTGCCTTTATGAGATTGCTTCTGGTGCTGTAAATAATGCATCTTTTTCCATCTGAAGATCATTTACCATTTCTCTGAATAGTGAATTACATTAATGGTTAAAGCAAGGAAGTCAGTATCAGATGTATAACAAGGACCACTCACTCAGATTTGAAATGTTGCCAATCTATACAATCTCAGCCTTGAACATTTGAAAGTACAAAAGTTCATTACTTTAATGATCAAGTATCCTTTAGATTTCTGAAAGAAAAATTTATGGTAACCATTTACAGTACTATACTTTTGCTCAAATTACAAACTCAGGTAAATGTTCCTTAAAGTTGAATTGGATGAAATTTTTCTATATATTTGTTGATATAGTAAACATCAGATAAATATCCAGATGTATTTAATTATTTCGACTCAAGGAAAGTATGTCCTATTTAGACAGTCTTTAAATAAATTATTTCTGAATTGAACAAATAAACAAGAAATAGCTGAAACTAAATGGCTTTGACTGTATAGAAAAACTTGAGAGCCTTTAAAAGAGGAATCATTTCAGAAAAATCCATGTCTTATTGGTCTCATTTTTATTTTTAGAGATAAACCTGAATTGACCGTTCAAATATATTGATAGCTTTTGAAAATTGAGCTTTTCATATTCAGAGGCTGATAGGTGATGTGAGAATAATTTTAAACCTATTACAAATGTATTAATTCCAATTCAGGTGTGTTTTAACCATGGGATTATCCCTGTGTCACCAAGAGTTAATATTTATTGAATGAATGCCTTCTATGCTAGTCCTCTCTTCATAGTTTTCTCATGTAATTCTCACATCCCTGTGATTTAGATATTATTACTTCCCTATCCCCTTTTATGGATGAGGAAAGTGAGGCTCAGAGTCACTGAATAATTAACCCAAGATTACATAGCTAGCAAGTAGAAATCTCAGAACTTGAGCCTAATTCTGAGCATTCCAAAGCCCATGGATATTCTAACACACAAAGTAGTCTTGTGAATGGCCTGATATATTAGAATTTTAAAAATTAACAAACAATTTTAAAATTAGCAAAAGAAGTGCTTGCTTCGGCAGCACATATACTAAATTGGAACGATATGGAGAAGATTAGCATGGCCCTCCGCAAGAGTGACACGCAAATTTGTGAAGCATTCCATAAAAAAAAAAAAAAAAAATTAGCAGAAGGAATGTTAAGAGAAATTTGCTTATGATTTTGTTGGTTCAGCCCTCAAGTAAGAACCGAACAGTTTGAAATACACACTTTTTCCGCCCTGGGAACATAAAGCAAATTTACCTTTTTTTTTTTTTAAATGGAGACTGAAGCTCTTTTGATGAATCTGCTTGGCCTTTATTTGAGTTTGTGCCCCAGGAAATGCCATAGAATACCTCAGGAGACTTTGTTACTGCTCATCCTAACAAGCCGGCAGCCCATTATTTTTATTATTATAGTGACTGTAGGTAACGCTAGGTCACATTCCAAACGTGACATTTTTAAAACAGATTCCAATAGGATTAAAGATATTTCCCTGTTCTCCTATTTTGGGTCATTTTCTTATTGTCCAGAGGGTGATGAAACTTTTCAGTTCTTAATGGTAGTTGACTTTGAAATTACATTTTGTCTTATCTTAAAAGTTGTTTTCTGGAGTAACTTTACCATGAGAATAATATAACCAGCTCCCCTCCATTCGGTTCTTACATGCTGCCTGCCACCTGTGTTCTCATCTTTACCCTCAACCTCCTGACCCCCATGCTAAAAGGTGCCATGCCATTGACTCACCTGGAAAGAAAGTGAACTGTGTTAGAACCATGGAATCATGCACTTTAAAACCCAAAAACTACATCTGAAAGATAGTAGCTGGATATGCAACAGTAAAAGGCATCTATTCTTTATCTAAGTTAATTGTTAAAAATTTTTTTCTAACTTAAAAAAATTACGTAATGCATATTCATTGGAGTAATATTAGAAAATACAGAAAATAAATAAAATGGAATTCAGCTTTATAAAGACAACTGAAACAGATTGTTTTCTAAATGACTAGTAGACGTTCCAAATAGAAATATTTATGTGGGACAGAGAGACGAGTAGTCCTTATGCGTGATTCATTTTGTTACTTTCATAGAGACTCAAAGTCTAGAAATCGTTGTGCTGTACAGGGCCTGAGAGGGTGGGGTTGTAGGAAATAAATAGACCTTATGTATTTTCCTTTTTTTTTTTTTTGCTTTGTCCTTTCTAAGTTTGGGTTGAATGTTCTATGGCCACAGCATTTGGTATACTAAAGATTTCTCTTCTTTTTCCCAGACCCCAGGCAGGCACAATCTTCCCCACCGTGGTCTTATGACCAGTCTTACCCCTCCTACCTGAGCCAGATGACGTCCCCGTCCATTCACTCTACCACCCCGCTGTCTTCCACGCGGGGCACTGGGCTTCCTGCCATCACCGACGTGCCCAGGCGCATTTCAGGTAAAGATCACACTTTAACTAAACATCCCACTCCCAAGCAGGGTTGGGGTTGGGGTTGCGGGATGGGCCAAGTTTGTTTTATGTATGCTCACAGTTACTCTCTATTAGAGGCACGTGGGCAAGGGTTTGACAACGGGCAAACCAGGTCTTCTGAATTATGGGGTTATCAAATACTGTAACATTTTAGATCAGGAGACTGAAAATCCATCAGAGATGGCATAATTTTCTTAAGATGATATCGAATGCCACCCAGTTTTAGTCCTGCTGACTTGTATCCCCATTGGTGGGCACTGTCTCATAATGAGGGCCTTCTCCTGAAGGTCTTATGCCAGGCCTTCCTCCGCTTGTATTCCTTTCTTTTCCTAACATCTATCTGTAAACCAAATTACAGTTATGGCATAGCCCTCCATTTCTAAAGACTTTTAAATCCCGAAGTCCAAGCTAACCAGTTTCAAGGGAGAGGACCTGTAAACTTAAGATCTTTATCAGAAACTAGTTATTTGAAGTGCAGTGAGGCCTGGAAGAATCTTAAAAGTCAGTGTGTGGCTTCTGAGCGGCCAACTCAAGACCGAGGCAACCTTTCTATGAATTATGTAGCGTACTGCTATTGCTCTCAGTGTGGCGGCCCCAGTCTCACACATCTACGATTCCAAAGGCACCACAAAAATCTGTGGCTTATGGTGGAAGTACATGTAGTAAACAACCTGGTCACCCCCTATCATAGAGAATTTATCATAGAAAGCCAGAAAGTGTCCACAAAGGCTTCAAACAGACCAGTCGAGTTAAAGGCTCTTGGCCAACCATATGAATTCCATGAATAAGAAAAAATAAATCTCTCAGTACACCCCAAAAGTACATACTACGGCATTGCCCCTGCGCCCCCTCCCCCATAAATAAAGAAGTAGACCCACAGAGGCACACACAGTTGGATCCTATATTTGTCAGACACTCTTCTCAGCGTTCGGGCTCCATGCACCTGTTTGACTCCTGGCCAGGTTAATGCCTTTCTTTCTTTCTCTTTGTGTTTCTGTCTCTGTTTCTCTCCCTCTCTCATTTTCTGCAAAGCTCGAAGCCGTTACTCACTCCGCTGAGTTGCATCACTGACAAGCTGAAGCTCCACCAGCAGGCTTGCAGGTTTTGATTAGTTCAGACTCCTTTATTTCTTTCAACTTGGGAGGAGGGAAGGCTTTGTTTCCCAAGCAAATAGCAGGAAAGGGCTCTCTGGTCCTAGTGCCTTCACATTTTCTGCAGCAGATGGACTCTCATAGGGGTGAG